AAGATTATCTAACCAACAACTAGTGGAATCTTCAAATGAACAAGACTTCCAGTTTTTAAATTCGCATTCATCATATTCAAACACTGGGGGGAATGGTATGAGAATACGACAGCAACGACTGCCATGTCGACCGGGACTACGAAATCTGGAAACAAATTTGTGTCATCGGAACTGGGGTTTAGCACAATGAATGCTTGTGTACTTTTGAAAATGGAAAGAATAAAGTAAAGTCCTTTTATTTTTATCTTGTTTCTTGTCTGAACGATAAATTAATTTTATCATTTAAAAGTTAAACAAGTACATCAAATGCTAGTGCCGTAATGAACAGGAGACGTTCTCTTCAAGAGCACCGTAAACATAAGAGGGCCCTCTCTTATGAAACCCTCACGGTAAAGGGTTGGTTCCGGAAGAGCTTATGCCCGGAGTCCAAATGCTATCGGGGAAAAATACATCTGAAGCCTTGAATAATTCGATGTAAAGAGAAAAACTTGTGCAATACTTAAACTAAAAGTACACAAAGAGAAAAACTTGCGCAATACTTAAACAAAAAGTATGCAAGAAGAAGAACTTGCAGAATACTAAAATGAAAAAAATACTTATATTCACAGCGAACGTATCAAGAAGCACAAATACAAATGTATGAAAAAGAAAAGAAAAGTGAAAAGAAAGTAAAGGCTAAGCTACTGCGCCCCCGGAATTCGGAGGAAGAGAAATATCTGCACCCCCAAGAGAGGTAGGCAGATCTACTATCGGTTCAATATCTTGGCCTTCATTGTCTTGGTTTTCACCATCTTGGCCTTCTCCATCATCTCCTTCGGGTTCTTCTTCAGTTCCGAGACCTCAGAGCCGGAACCAGAAGAGTCAGAGGTATTTGGTCGGACCAAGATACCCCTTCGGGTAGTTGACTTCAGCTCACGGGCCTTGACGATTTCGGCATCAAAATCAATGATGCCCTCTTTGTCCTCTTCCAAGATTTTTCTCCTCATGCTATACATAGAATATGTTTTTTCAATAGTAAGGGAAGCCGCTCGGCGCTGAAGTTCTTCATTAAGACGGTCAACCTCGATCGAAAGTTTATCCCGCTCGGATCTAACGGGCCGGAGGCTGACATCAATGGTCACTGCCTCTTGCTCGATTTGCTACAACTGAGCCTCCAGTTCAGCAACCTCAGCAGCTCGTGCTTCCAGTTCCGGGAGGCGGGCAGCAATCTGATCCCGCTCGGCCAACAATTGATCCCATGCGGAGGTAAGCTTTTCTTTGTTAAGGATCAATCTCTGAAGGCCTCGGAAACAAGGAAGTTAGACTACAAAATAGAAGTACAAATTAAAAACCCTGCTACAACAAAGATAGAAGGAACAACATAAGGAACAAAGATCGTACCGCCGCCACGTTATGCATGGCATTGTTTATGAAAAATTCTCCCGAGAGAGACTATATTTTATTCATGTCCCTTTCCGAAGCTAGAGGCTTCAGATAATTATCAAATTTTACCGGACGAGACAACAGATGGCATCCGATAGAAATCGAGAGGGTAACACTCCACCTTATTTGGGGATCGTCGGAGGGGACAGAATAGTTATGCCACAAATTTCCATGAACTGGGCACTAGGGAAGAGGGAGATTCTCCTCTCGGACGACAGCGCCTGGTGGAGATGATGTAGCAGTTGCTGGTGGCGAAGGCAATGTTGGCGAAGAAGGTGATGAAGCTGATGGCGTTGTAGGTTGTGAAGCAGCTGCAGAAAAAGTAGTGCTAGTTTTTGCTTGCTCACCAACCAAAGGAAGAAAAGACCCGGTACCCAGCTTTACGGTACCGAGAATGGCAACTAGGATTCGGATGTGAGAGTTAGCATCTTCCACTATATTAACTCCCCCAGAGCACCAGGACGTCGTCCTCAATTTGCATAACTAGCTCAATAGATAAACACTCTGTTGAGACGATGAAGGTCGTCGTCTTCTATGTACAAATCCCCCTCATCACTGGCTCCTCTATCATTGTTGATCACCGCGGTGTCTACGGATGTCTTGGGCACGACGCTCATTACCACAACGTCTGCAGATGGCTCGGGCATGGCGTTCTTCACTTTTTTATTTTTACCCTCGACCACGGAAGTACATCGCCTTTTTTGTTTCTTGTTCTCCGATCGGGAATTTCGAGAAGAAGCACTTGCACCAAAAGCAGGCCTAGTGACACCTGTTCGGGTAAAAGCCTCCTGCAGCAACCTCACTGTATCAGCTAGATCAGCCAGAACGTCCTCCTCGGGGATGGTAAAAGAGCCCTGCGGAAGACCTAAATTCAGCAGGAAAGAAAGGTTAACCAATTTTTCTTATACGAGAAGTAAAGACAACACTATTTCAACCTACCATGATTTTTGGCCTTCCACCCATATTTAAGGGCCAATTCCTTCCACTTGCGGGTCTCAGGCGTAGTGACATCCAGAATCTTCTGGACCCACTGGTCCAAGCCTTTAACCCTAGGTGGTGTCCACCGAGTTGTTGAAATAGTAAGAGAAGAAGGATCAGCAATAGCATGGGACAATCTTTAACTAGAAAAATAGATGATGTACTTACGAGTGTGGTTCCATAATTCAGGAAAGGATGGGGTCATGGCCGGGATGATGCCCCTGATGGCGACCGCAATGAACTTCTCCATCCACCCACGATCGTTGTCATCATCCATGCTGGTTAACAAAGCATGGCGACCGCGTTTGCTAAAGTTTATCATTCCCTCATGGAAAATCTTGGGAAAATAAAGGTTCATCAGTCGAGCCAGGGACAACTCTTCTCCCGTCTCCTAGGATAGACGCCGAAGACAAGCAATAGTCCGCCACACGGAAGGGCTCACCTTTGCCAAGAAGACTTGGTAACGAAGGCAAAACTCCAAGATAACGGAGTCAAGATCCCCTCTCAATGAGAACGGGCCCAAGGTAAAGGGATACGTATAAACATACGTAAAACCCTTCTTGTAGAAGGTTACTCGCTCCGCTAGGTCAGGAGCAATGATGTTTAAATCTTGACAACGACAATCTTCCTTCACAACAGGGATGTTACAAGGACGGATGGAAGAAGGATATACGCCAACATCCCATGTTCGGGGGTTAGCAGAGGAGTACTTCTCTTCGAAGTCCTTAGTTGTAATAAACTTTCTAGGAATGATGGTGCTCACCGTGGGAGAAGCAGCATCATCAACACTTTCTTTGTTCTTCGAAGCACTGGAATTTTTGGAATAGGAGGCCATTGTTATCAGAAAGGAGAAAGGGTTTTTTCTCTGAAGAACAAGATTAGAGGGAGTTGAAAGCAAGTGTGAGTTGAGTAAAGAGAGCTCGAGAGAATTTACAGAAGCACGAAGTGAAAAAGGGAAAGAGTGATACGTATAAGTAAAGGAATAGGTGGCTAAAATCGTGGCCATGATTACCTCGAAACCCGGGGAAAGTATTGTTGAATCATGGGATGATTCCCTCGGTTCCGCCTCCGGCTGAGGAGGGAAATTCAAATCGATAGGCGGTCGCGCCGAAGAGCTTGACGCGTATTCGGGGCATTAAATGCGGAAAGACGTGCGTCTAATCAACTGTTAAAGACTTTTCAGGGGGGGATCAGAGAATTTTTCGCCAAGAAAAGTATCTTCACCAACTTCCCGATAACACAAAGATGTGTCATTGGAAAGCTGGGGGACTATCTGTATAGGATAAAATATATTCATATTAAATGCCCGCATAGTATAGCGACACGGGAGCCGAAGGCGGAAGGTAACCAGGTCCGAACGCGACAATCTCGTTTATCCCCGAACGGAATGATATTCATAAAGGCGAGATAAATTCCTGCCACCCGGTGACATTTAATGGAGAATATTATATAGCGTTAAGTACGTAGTCCGTTACGGAGAATATGGAATTTACTGCCTGCAGTTACACATTCTTCAGTGGCCCCTATAATTGTCATTTAATAGGGGCTTGATCCTAGGACCTTGTTCTCTAGGAACCATTATAAATTGAGAGCTCAACAACCATTGTAAAAGAGGAATTTTCTAACAAGCTGATACTATGCTTTATTCAAAAGCTCAATAATATTTCTTCATCTTGCTTATTAATATTGTTATTACTGCCTCCAGAAGCTCTACTCTCAGAATCAAGATTTCTACTGTCTTATCTCGATTTCAACGCGAAGTCTTACATTCTTGATTATTTTATTTATCATTTCGGGATCAAATTAATTCACTTGTTTATAAACCACGTACAAATTCAACTATACCGTTTTACGGGTGTACAAGTATCACCTACAATTTACACTCATGTTATTCTACCTAGCTTCCCTGGTTATGATTTATGGACAACGTGGAGTTTCTATCTCAGATATGATAGCATCATACTTTCCAACTTCAGGTTATGTACAGAAAATTAGCCGCACGCAGGGATATAATTGATGTGATTGAAAACCTTAAAATTTTGAATACGTATTTCCATACTAGTGATGGAGTTTGAAGCAGGGGTTAACTCATGTAACTTTTAGAGTGAGTTCAGATGTCAATAAGAAGTTGCATTAAAAAATACTAGTATATAAATCACAATACTTATGATTAATGATATATTTAAAGATGTTTGAAAATAATGGTTAAAAAAAAAAGGAAATTGTGTAACTTCTCCTCATAATAATGTGTTATTTTCTCCTCTTCTTCTACTAAATTCTTTTTGGATGAAGAGATTAGAAAATAACACATACCCATTTGACCTTTTTGTGTATATTGGCGAATGCTTTAACAATCCAAACTGTGCTATTCTTTTAAGGTGCAAAGGGCGGTCGCAATACTTCAAGGAAATTTCTCAAGTGAAAAAAAGAAGAGAACGTTGTTCCTTCATTGGTTATTTTTATATTTTCTTACGTTGGATTACGAATCTTGGTTGCTTAAATATCGTAAGGAATTTATTCTTTCCTATCCTCCTTAACCTAAGCATCAGAATGTCTATCTCGGCCTTCTTTATGGCCACTATATCATTTGTATTTAAGGCCATAATAAGTTAGTCTCTGACCCACATTCAAGTTTTAAGTCTTCAAAAAACAATGTCCAATTTGAGCTTTCTTGATCTCCAATACAACCTCTCAAAGAGAAAATTTCTGAGGAAGCCAACTAGGATGTTATCCAGAATAAACTCAAGATTGTTGCCAGTATATCAACCAAGTTTGGATGAGCTAAAACGAGTGTTTGATAAATTTGATACTAACAAAGATGGCAAGATTTCACCAGGGGAGTACAAGGGCATATTAAGAGCCATGGGAAAGAAAAACCTCCTCACAAAAGAAGTAGATAAGATATTCGACATAGCAGATGCAGATGGTGACGGATTTATAGATTTCAAGGAGTTTGTAGAAGTGCAGAAGAAAGGAGGTGGAGTTAAAACAATAGATTTGCAGAGTGCATTTCATACGTTTGACAAGGATGGTGATGGTAAGATCAGTGTGCAAGAAGTGTATGAGTTGCAGCAGAGGCTCGGGGAACAATGCACCCTTCATGATTGCAGGAATATGGTGAGGGCTGTAGATGCTAATGGGGATGGTGTGATTGATTTGGAAGAGTTCATGACCATGATGACTCGTACCATGACACTTTATTAGAAGCTTTCTACTGCAAGAAAATGGTCTTTAGCAACCAAAAAAAAAAGAAAAAAAATATCTGAACTGGTTCTTCCTATAGCTCATATTTACACACACGCACTAGTCATATCTACTTATCTTTTCCTTGTATATATATAATGTATGTGCATGTCTTGCTGCAAACTTTTGCCTCTCTGGCATTAGTCATGACTAGTTATATGACAAAAGAAAACATTTACCTCGTAGGTTTTGAATCTTGCTGTTGCTCCGTGTAACAATCGACCGATCATTTTGAGCTTTATCTATAATGACACGGTCAGTCGTTTTGTATATTTGAATCCGTTCGCCTATTTGATGCTTCCTGTAAGTGTGTTTGTAGCTTTATAACTTGTGGGGGTGGTTAGTTTGACGTCGGGAGGGTTTGAGAGTGAATTGAGACACTTAGTCTCATTTTTTAAAGTTTAAGTTGTAAGACTCAACTTCAGACTCTCTGAATCTCTCCTCTGCTGACCGCGATAAAAGGACCGTTGTCGTGGTAGAGGCTCCGCTGCCGCACAAAAGCACCGCGGTCAACGGTGACTTGAGAAGCCTCAAATTGTATCTCTCTGAATCTTTGTTACTGCGGACCGCAATAAAAGCACCGCGGCCGCGGTACGGGCACCGCTGCCGCACAAAAGCATCGCGGTCAGCGGTGACTTGCAGGACTCAAAAACATACTCTCTGAACTTTGCCACCGCTCAGCGGGGAAACAAGACCGCCTCAGCGGTGGACCCTCCGCGTCCGCGGTTGATTTTCTGATGTAGCGCTCAGTTGACTCAGCTTTGACTTGTACAGGTTTCACTCCCTTTTGAGCTGGTTTTGACTTTCTTGTCTCCTTTTGACCAAACACTGCAAGCAAGCACAATAAGTTAGCTTTTGAGATACTTGTACACACTTTTAATCCAAAACTCAAGCAAAAAGGAGCATAAAATAGACTAGAATCCCTAGTTATCACAAGTTGAATACCCAGATTTTAAAAGAAAAGCATCGAGAGGATCTAAAAAAAATAAATCCTTTGGAAGCTGGAGTGATGAAGATAGCTCAGAGTATGAGGAAATTGCAAATCTATGTTTCATGACTATATTAGAAAATAATATGAAGTTCTCAGGATGTTGGACAAATGAAGATGTATGAAATGATGACAACAAGGAAACGACTCAAAGTTGCTTCATGGCACGTGGTGAATCTAGCGAGATAAGATCATATGAATGTGATAGATGCAAAGAATAACAAGATATTCTTTATCTCACCCTAAAGGAGTCTCAAAAGATTCTAAACGAATTAAGGAGACTAAATAGGAGAAAAAAGGACTAGGAACTTAAACTTGAAGTATTTAAAATTGAAATAGACGTACTTCAAGAGGAAGTTCAGGAATTACAGTTGCAACTCAATGGCATTCGCAAATCCACCAGTCACAGTTCATCAAGTCAAACCAAGCGACTTACAAATCAACTGAAAAAGATATGTTAGAAATGGATCTACTGGTACTAGCACTGCAAGTAGACCAAATGATAAATCCACTCATATATGTCATTATTATAATACGACTGGTCATAATATTCCATTTGTAGATATCGTAACTCAAACGTTTCAGGATGGATTTGCAAGCCCAAAAACAACCCTGATATTACTAGAACTAACAAACAAGGACCCAAGCAAGCTTGGGTACCTAAAAGAAGGTAATAATGCTATTTTACCGAATGGTATTTAGACAGTGTGTGCTCCAGTCACATGACGGGTGACAAGAATCTATTCAAAGAAGTCACAAAAATAAATGAGGGATAAAATTTGGTGATGATTCAAAAGGTAAGATCGTTGGCACCGGTACTGTTCCATTCAATAAAAACTGTGATATTACAAAAGTGCATGTTGTGGATGGACTCAACTATAATCTCATGAGCACAAGCCAACTGTGCAACTCTGGATATGAAGTCAAATTCAAGAAAATAAGCTATGCTATTGAAGAATAGACATGTAAAATTATTATACCAGGAAAAAGGTATGAAAATATTTACATTCTATACTGTATTGAAAACATAGACGGTCACATTTGTCTGGCATCCATATCGGATGATCCTTGGCTTTGGCATAAGAAACCTAGTCATGCAAGCATTCACCTGATTGAAAAACTCTCTAAACATGACCTAGTTATTGGCCTTCCTAAGCTAAACTTCTCTAGGAACCATGGAACCATGATCCATCAGCAGAAATATGCAAAAGAGTTGATCAAAAAGTTTAAAATGGATGAATCAAAGGAAATAGACACCCCCATTGCAACTGCCACTAAATTAGACATAGATGAGCCTGGTTCATCTGTTGATCAGAAGTTGAATAGGGGTATGATTGGTTCACTTTTGTATCTTACTGCAAGCAGACCTGACATAGTTTTCAGTGTAGGGATTTGTGCTCGCTTTCAGGCTTATCCAAAGGAATCTCACTTGACTGTTGTCAAGAGGATACTGAGATATTTGAAAGGCACTACTGATATGTCTCTTTGGTACCCTAAAGGTAGTAATTTCAATCTAGTCGGGTATGTTGATGTTGATTATGCAGGTTTCCTTGTGGATAGGAAGAGCACCTCAGGTATGGCTCATTTTCTTGAAACATGTCAACTTGGAAAACAAACCAGAAACTCTTTCAAACCCAAAGATAATGTGTCCACAACTAAGCCCTTACAACTACCTCACATGGACCTATTTGGACCTATTAGAATTGCCAGCATTGGAGGTAAACGATATGCATTTGTTATTGTTAATGACTACTCACGTTTTACATGGTTAATATTTCTATCTCACGAAGACAAAGCTTTGAAAAACATTGAGATCTTCTGCAAAAGAATTGAGAGAAGAAAGGGGTATCTTATTTCAATCATACAAAGTGACCATGGAGGTGAATTTGAAAGCAGATCATTACAAGAATTTTGCAATGATCAAGGATATACTCAAAACTTTTCAGCCCCAAGATCACCTCAACAAAAAAGTTACTATAATGACCCGGCCAGTCATTTTGATAATTAGCATCTCGTTCGGCGGCATAAGATCTCGAGCAGCTCCGCATTATGTGTTATGACTTGCATGTGTGGTCGAGTTTGATTTTCGGATGATTCACGGTCAATCTGGAAGAAAGATTCTTGTTTTAGAAGTTTAAGCGGTAAGAGTTGACTGGCATTTTGACTTTTGTAAAGACGACTACGAAATGGCATTTTGATGATTCTAGTAGCTTCGTATGGTAATTTTGTACTTAGGAGTGAGTCCGGATTTGGAATTGGAGGTCCGTAGGATAAATTGAAGCATTTCGGCGAAAATTGGAAAGTTGAAGGTTCGGAAGGATGAGAGGTTTGATCGAGAGTTGACTTTGGTGATATCAGGGTGATTCTGAGAGTTGGATTAGCTCCTTTATGTCATTTAGGACTTGCATAAAAAAATTAACATCATTCCGGGTTGATTTGATATGATTCGGCGCAAGTGGTAGAAGTTGAAAGTTCATTAAGTTTGATTTGAGGTATGATTCATAATTTCGACGTTGTTTGATGTGATTTGAAGCCTCAAGTAGGTTCGTGTTGTGTTACGAGACTTGTTGGTATGTTCGGACAAGGTCCCGACTGGCTTGGGTGAGTTTTGAATATGTTTAGGTTCTGTTGCGCTTGTTTTTTATGCTTCCACGTCATTTCTTCAAGCATAAATGTTTCTACATTAATAAAATGAGCTCCAAATTCAGTTTTTATTAAAGCATTAGATTCGTATCATAATTATGGAGCCATAGCAAAAAAAATCATCGAATTTGGATATTGTATGAGAGAGTTATGCTCATTTCCGTGTCGGGACTGGTTTCTGTTGTAGTTGCAGCAGCGAACATTTTAATCGCAATTGTGATACCCAGTTCGCAACTGCGAACATTTTGTGCAATTGCGACATTTTCTAGCCCTGTTTTTGTTCGCAATTGTGAAGGCTTCTTCGCTTTTGCGAGGTCGCAAATGTGACATCTGCAGATTGTTATCAGCTATGTAATTCGGGTTTTTGCTTCATTTTGTGATATTTTGAACCCTAGGTCCAAGAGTGTCATGACCACAGAACTGACCCGGTCATGATGGAGCATATCGTGAAACTAGGCCAGCCGACACATTTTCAAAATAGTTCATTATTTCATTTAAAGCTTAAATAATACCATTTTCAACTGATATTCCATAAAAGATATAAAGTTAAAACCAAACAAAAGCGAAAAATACAAGCCTGACCTCGGGTGTCACTAAGTCATGAGCAATACTACACTTGTTCCGAAACACAACTAGACCAAAAATAGTCTAAAATATCCAAAGTATACTAGAAGGAAGATAAAGAGGGAGAAGGCGGAACTGCGAACGTTAGGCAGGTACCTCGCTATCTCCGGTGAAATCTGCGTCTGGAACAGTCAACAGCCGCTACCGTGGCCTGAGATACCTGGATTTGCACACAAGGTGCAGGAGGTAACGTGAGTACACCAACTCAGTAAGTAACAAGTCCAAACATTGGACTGAGAGGTAGTGACGAACTAAACCTCAGCAATTATCACACATTTAATTTGTACAAAAAAGTAGGCATGCTGGCAATTCAATATTTTTAACTTGACAGTAAAAGAAAAGTGCTAATCCGAACAATGTAAAGTATAAAGCTCAGTAAAACTCTACATGTCAATGCCAGAAATGTATGAAACTACACCGTGTGCTCCCACTCTCATGTGCTCAACCTCTCGGTACCGCATATGGCCATCCGGCCCAAGGAAATCCATCACGAAATATATATAAACAACACTTACCTCAAGTCAACCGGTACCGAGGAACAAGGGTAATCCAACCCTGTGGAGAAATCCATCTCCAGGTATCAGTACTTCGGATAAATCCATATCCAGGGAAATCCATCCCTCAATAATATCAGTACTTCGGACAAATCCATGTCCAGGGAAATCCATCCCTCAATAGTATCACCCGCTCACTGGGGTGTATAGACTCTGGTGGGGCTCCTTTCAGCCCAAGCGCTATAACAAGCCAATGAAGGCATAATCAATAATCTGCTGCGGCATGCAGCCCGATCCCATAACTGACACTCAAATTCAGGCTCTCGGCCTCACTCAGTCACAACTCTCCAGTCTCACACACACAGGCTCACAATACCGAAAAACTAGCCGAACAATGACATGATATTCCATATAACAATAACCGAGACTGTGACATGATATAATATGCATGAACAAGACTGAGTACAGAATATCAATGAAGATAATGATATTACAGCAAGAAACGACCTCTCGGGTCTCTACAGTATCG